TTTTGCCCCCCCCCCCTGTCTATCGCGGGGTTTGTCTTCAAAACAAGAAAAAAAAAGCTGGAGAATATTGAAAGTGAACATAACATTCCAGGCTCTATTACGCGGCCTATGTTTTGAGCTGAGCCGATCGGAATTAAAGGCATTCCTGCGATCAAGTGTAACAGGTAGCAGGTGCTCAATCATGAACCAGTAGCTCATAAGTAACTCCCTAGTAGAGAAAGAAGCGAGAAAAAACCTTGGGAACACCAGAGACCCCCCCCTCGGCAGCGCGTGCGAGTCTTGTTCGAATTCATCATAAGGACAGGCCCAATTAGCAGGATTTGAAGTGCAACTGATTCCCGGCAAGAGCACAGGAAATCACCCTACGACGCTCCAGGCAACGCTATGTACACACGCAATTCCGCTTGTAAGCCGTTGTCTTGCAGAGTGAAAGTAATCGTGATGCAGTGGTTGCAATAATCACGTGTCTCAGGTCTCTTTACCTCGTCGTTTCGAGTGACGAAAATGGTACATTCTCTGCCAGTGCGGACCCGAGTGCCAAATGCATTACGCGGACCACTTGATCGCGGGGACTGCCTTTAAGTCACAACTCCGCACAGCGAGACTGCGCTCTTTCTCACTCTACATCACGATTTAATGGTGCCATCCAGTCATTGTGCGTGCTACCACAAAAAGTTGCATACATGGAACTAGTACATACTAGGCATGCTCACCAACCAGCATAAAGTAATACTGGTATTTTTCAGGTGTGACAGAAATGCCAGAAAAGACAACTACTGGGTAACAGACCCTTTGAGAAAATCGGCTGACAACCAACTTACTTGGCATGAGCACTGAACACGTAATAATCGCTTTACACTTAGAGACATTAATCGAATAAGCCAATGGTTCCAATTTTAGATGCGAATTGATGAATGCTGACACCACTCCTATCTGAAAATTGAAAGTTGTCTTTCCTTCCTTGTTGGATTATATCGAGTAGATCAGAGCATTCCAACAACAGGAGTCCTTCAGATGGCAAAGTGTCTTTGCAGAATGGTTTTTTTGCATGATGTAAATGCCTCTGCAAGGAACAAAACACTGGTATTCACTTCTGAGCGGTCCAGTAATGCCAAAACTGAATAAACTAATGATCAACAGACGGAGTATCTCATAGTGAGTCGGGTTTCCTATAGTAGGTAGAGCTGTCATTGAAGAATTGAGTTTAGAGTTTTAGAGTGGCCTGAAGATGTTGTAATGGTGATAAAAATTTGGAATAGAAAGTGGGCGGAGCTCCCCATACTTGGCGAGGCTTGGCCCTAGTGGGCCCCACGGTGACAAAACTTTGCAATCCTTGGTTTTCATTTCCCTGTGTTTATACATGTATGGCCCTCTTGCCCAAACTGAAACGCGTACAAAGAGGCTTTAAGAGAGTTCGAACCACAGGCTCTACCCTAATACTGCACACCTAAGCGAACCTCATTATGCAGTTCAATCCATGTACGGGACGTAAGTCTTCCACTTCTACTATGAAAGGAGGACATACCACAGAAAATGTTTAATTAACACCTTCGCAGCGGCGCCGTTTCGCCAAAAACTTCCGTTTGTCGAGCGGCGCGTTCGCGGCGGGCGACACTCAGGCAATCGTCCCGTTTATGGTTAAGCGCACTCGCAACGAATACAACTTCGCCAAAAACCACGTGATTCGTTTTTTGTCCATTCTTTTTACACTTTTTCCCCTCTGCAAGGTTTATCTCATTTCTGGTGAAAGAACCAGGTATCTTGCCCCTTTTGAAGTGAGTAAACAAAAGTAAACACGATTTGTTCCTCAAAAACCAATACTGCCTCTCCTGCTTCCAAAA